TAAAAAGCACAGGAACCTGGGGGGACATCTACATCAATTGGCACAACATAGTTCATAAAAACAAAGTTCTGCATCCTACTTTGGTGAGTAGCATCTGGGATCTTAAAAGCTTGTGAGTGGCTATCTAAGATACAACTATTGCTCTGTTACTATTCAGAGCAAAAGAGAATAAGAAAACCAAAGACACAGAGGAATAGTTAGTCCAAAGACTTAATGGGCCACATGAACCACAGCCTACATGACCCTAAGACCAGAAGAACTAGATGGTGCCCAGCTTCCACTACCGACCACTCTAACCAGGAATCAAAACAGATGGTCCTGGACAAAGTGGGAGAAAACTTGCAGAGCAAAAAACCAAATTCACAAAAAAGACCAGACATACTAGTCTGTTAGAGACCAGAGGAACCCCCGAGACTATGGCTCTAAGTCACCCTTCTGAGCTGGAACTGAAGCCATTACCAGAGACAACCCATCAGCCAAACCATAGACAGGCCCATAAAATAAACAACACCCGAGAGAAACATGTTCGTTAGAACAATCTATTACATGAGATCAAAAGGGCAACATTTGCCCAAAAGCAAAAACGAGAAGGCAGGAAGGGGTAGCAATTCAGAATGAAAGGAAATGGGGAACCTAGGACTGAGATGGGAGGGCACACACATTGTGAGGAATGCAGCCAATGTCACGCAACACTTTGTGACAGCTATCGAATGGGAAGCTGATTTGCTATGTAAACTTTCACCTAATGCACAATAAAAAATTAATAAATTAAAAAAAGCACAGGGAATGACATTGTTCTTTAACTCTGTCACTGAATGTGACCCAAAAAAGAAGGAAAAAATTATCTTTTTCAGCAATAGCTTCTCCTTTGCATCTTTTCTCAGTAATTATAAAATCATTACGCTTCCCTGCCTCCCAGGAATGTTTCCAATATTAATTACAGGAAGGATGCATTGAGACCAGGAGCACAGCTCCCAGACTTGAGCTAAAACAGAGTGATCCGCCCTGAATTTGGAGTTATCCATATGACTAAACTGAATCATCCAAGCAGGAAAAAAGGAATCTGCCTTTGCCAATTTGACTCCAGTTGGTTGTATGAACTAACACATTCCGAGGGTAATTGTGTGATCACTGTAAAGAGTAATTGTAAATATTCATTCCTGAAGTGCCCTATCCCTCTTAGAGAAGCGAGTTTGGAGTGGGCAGGATGAGGACATTCAGGATGTTGATGTGGGTTGGTTCTTTTCAACTAAACTTAATAGTAAAGGAGATGTCAGTTGGATTTTCAGGTATATTCTTTCAAGTTGGAATTCTGTTCACCAGACGCTTGGAATTTCTCTCAGCGCTATTCCGGGGTGGGTGGAGGGTCGAATAAAAGTGCGTGGAGAAAAGGAAAGACCGTTCGTGAAAGCTCCTGTGAGCCAGGCATTCTGAAATGGAGGCTGGACTCCTAAAGGGAATCTCCAAGTACCACGTTTTAGTAGGACATCTTAAATTACTTAATTGTAACTTTCTCTGTTTCCCTTTAAAATCGTTTGACTCCTGGTAGGTTTTAATCGTCTTGAAACATTATGTACTCCTTTCTCTCAATTTTTAGATTATTTGTTGTGATACAAAATCATGCTTGAGGTCTAAACTTATGATTAGATCATTAACTAGGAAAAGACTGGTCTGTGTGCAGGTGATCCAATGACATAAGCAACCTGGTTCTAATTTGCGGCCAATACTGATTGTAACTAAAAGAGACTTGCTCTGTTTGTGGAATTGGCTGGCTATTTCCCCACATCTGGAGCTAATAAAGTGTTTGAGACCACATCAGTTGCGCCTTGCCGCAAGAACTCTTTGATCTGAAAAATCGAGACCGGCAGAACTGCTGCTTCGTAACATTGCATCTGTGTTTTTGCAAAGCCGCGGTTGAGATGCTGAAATTGAAGCTCTGTGGGCTGTGTTAAAATGCTGCTGCTGGACGGGCCTCTTTGAGAACCGTGTATTTCGAAACATTTTTATTATAAAAATTTTGAACTTGTGTTAGTAAATAAATGATAGACTTATAGTCGTTTAGGGTTTTACCATTTCCACTTGTAAGAGCAATGCTTTAAAAGCCCATTTATTTTTGTAAGTCCGTTTATAAGACTAACATTAAAAACAGACTTCACCACTATAATGAGCCGTTTTCTTGATACAGCTTCAAAACGTTTATATAAGAGTAAGGCAGTCTCTTCCTTTGCTTTGTGTGGTTTCTCCTTGTTGCCTTGCTTCCTATAAGAGCCATCAATAAACCATTATCTGATCAGCATTTTCTTCTTCATTTGGTAGCAGACAATTTATAAATCAGTAAAGTCAGGTTTATCTGTTTACTTGTAATTGCAAATGTTGACGATTTTAAATGTCTAAGCAGGAGCGGATTAACCAGTCAGCAAGGTGCACGCTGGCTTAATTGTGTTTACTTACTAATCTGTAGTGCACAATTTCACCTGTTCCATGTGGTAAAAACAGGTGAAATCATGCAGTACAGATTAGTAAGTAAGCACAAGTAAGCCCGTGCGTACCTTGCTTAGTGGGTCGTCCATCCCCGTGTGTAAGTGTATCCTCTATGGAACACAGTGAATTGAATGGGAATAAGGATAAAGAAATATAAATTGACAAATTAGGTAGGTTTTTTTTTTTTTAATGTGAAACTTGAAACACCGAAACGAGTTTCTCCAGAATTATCAAGCATGAGGCTTACATACTGTTTCAGTCTTAAACATGCACAGAGTTGGAGAATTTTCTATTCCATACTTTCCGACGAATGGTAGTGTGTATAATAAATAAGCATTTGTGATAAAAAGCATATGTTCTGATGCTGTCTTTGACGTTTTATTCTCATTTGTATTTTTTGGCTAAGTCTATGAATTTAGTCTGTTTTTCACGGTGGTTTCTGCCTTGTTTGGGGCAAAGGAAAAAGAGCAGAGGATGGCTAGCTGTGGCTATATTTAGAAGCTGAAAGTTGATTAAAAGAACGAACTACAAAGTTCTTTTCCTGAAAACTTCTACCTGCCTGTATAATGCATTCCAAACACATTTGTTTATATCCAGTTATTTCATTCTAACACTGTGTTTATGAAATTGCTTTAAACTAGAAAAAATATTTTAATATGTATAATGAAGAAACCATTTTATCTTCTGTATCCCCTGTCTAGTGTCCATCTGGATAATCCTTAGGAATATCCTTTGTCCCAAACTTCTCAGATACCGTAGGTGTGTGTTTTTACCTCTGGGATGTGAAAGTTAGTTAGGAAGCTGACTTGAGTGCCAGTCCATTAAAAAGACACACCTGTGCTGCTGTTATCAGGACTAGCAAGAAGAGTCAGCAGGCACCTTTCAGCCCTATGTTTAGGATGAATTTTATATATATATAAAGAGGATAAGTAAAACAAAACCTTAAACAAATTCAAAAACCAAACAGGGGCACTATTTAGCAGCATAACTGCTTCTATGAGAATGATAGAAAGATGATAGTGTTTGCTAATATGTATCGAGTGCTTGTTCAAGGCACTGTGCTAAATGGTGTGTATGCGTTAGGTCACCTGATCTTCCCACCACCTCCCTGCTGGCAGGAACTATCCCCAGCATCTTACACATGAGGAAATTGAATCTCAGGAATGTTAGGTAATTTGCTGGAGGTCTTTACTGCTAGTTAGTGCCTCAGGGAAAGAATAAATTATTTGATAGTTTATGTAAATAAATTATTTGGCTTCCATTTTTATCTTGGTGTGCTTCCCTCGCTTTTTTTTTTTTTAAGCGTATAGAAATATATGCTCATGGTGAAAATATCAAACTGTGTAGAAGGGGAGAAAGTGAGAGTGGCTCTTCCCAGCTCTGTGTCCAGAGGGTTAACTGCTATCAAGTTTCTTGTATGTCGGTCCAGAAACTTTCTGTGCATTTACATACAAATATGTACATGAATTTTTACACATGCACCCGCATTCTAATAAGTTGATCAGTTACGTTTTCCACTTAAGTGAACATAGAATTTTTCTACTGCAGTGAACTTTAATGGATGTGTCCTTAGCAAACTGAAACAAATGGAATTATTTATGTTACCTGGTGCTCCCAAGAGGCCGTTTGTTTCAGTTCTTACTGTAAAGAACACGCTCACTCCTGGTTTTATGCTAACTGATCTGCGTTACCTGAAATGTCATTTGTTTGTTTTCCTGCCTGGTTTCAATAGCCATTATGAGGATGGTTTGATCATGTTTTGATCATTAATGTTATTTGTCTGCCCATTTAAGTGTTCCAGAGGAATGGAAATTTGGCCATTTGTCAGTTCAGATGTTCATATTTGGCTTATCTGAAGCAGAGGTTTACCAAAGGAAATTAATACTACTCTGGGAAATTAAATGAGATTTTTTTTTTAACTATGCCAGAATTGAAAGCTTACTTGAAATTAAAGAAGTAAAACTCCTCAGCAGAATTTGGTTTAGATTTATCTGGTAAGGAACAGATAAGGAAAGTTAAGGAACTTTCTCAACAACTGGGTTGTGCCTGTAGTGGTTACTTTTTAGTGGTAATAAAGGATAGTAACATCTAATCTAACCTATTTTGATTTTATTTAGGACATCTTGTAACAGCAAAAAGAATCAATTTTATGAACTTAAATTTTATTCCATACTGTAGTCGAAGGACGTTTGCATCTTCCTTCATCCGATTTTGAATGGTGAACCTACATGATGTTTGTATTTTGGAAGCAAAGTCTACGTTTATGGCTTTATCCAACCGTCACACCAAAATACTTTATAGGAATATTTGGAATAGTATTTTTCTGTAGTAATCTAAAAACAAACGTGTAAGTAGAAACAATATTAGACACTGTGTGAGTTTAGGCATTATTCTCTGAATTTGGGGTAATCCTTTCTAGAGTTAGGTAGGCCTTTTTAGGCCCTATGTGAATGTAGAATTCATTTTATGTAAGTAATATAATATTCATTTACATTTTAATTACATTGTTTAATTTTAAGGTATATGCACCATCCCCAAATTCAGATGATTTCAACCGTGAATCACCTAGTTATCCGTCCCCCAAGCCACCAACCAGTATGTTTGCTAGCACTTTCTTTATGCAAGGTAAGTACTTCCAAATAGTGTTCAAATCCTACGGCAATCATCTGTTGCATAGTAGGTAATATTTTCAGTTGCGAGGAAAAAGAATATCTGTATAGAAATTCAGGCATTATTTGCCTGGGTATTTTTGGCTGAAGTAAAATAAAATTTAGTTTAAACATTTTTCTAGTGCCAAGTACAGTTTAGTTGGATTATGCCGCACACCACTGGAGTGCCCGTCCAGTGCTGACTGGATTCATAAAGAACTTCAGAAGAGTTTTGAGGGAAGTGAGACCTGCTCACACTCCTTTCAGAATTCAGATGTATAGGAGCTATTAACTCTAGTTCCTGACTTAAATTACAGACTCATATCATACCTAGAACAGAGTAAGACTTGGTAAGAGAGGAAAAGGTTCCTGGGTGGTGCAAACAGTTCAAGTGCTTGACTACTAGCCGGAAGGCCGGCAGTTCGAGCCCACCCAGGGGCACCTCAGAAGACAGGCCTTGAGATCTGCTTCTGAAAGGTCACAGCCTTGAAAACTCCATGAAGCAGTTCTATTCTGCACACTCGGGGTCACCATGAGCCACAGTCAACTCTCAACAGTAACTAACAACAAGAGGGAAAAAGTGATGTCTACCAGTTTATGTCTAGGAAATCATTTTTATTTGGTCTCCCATGGTTTTGGACTATGGGAAACATCTACTGTGGGGACAATAAGTTACCCCCATACGCTTCCTTGACTCTTGGTTGAGTGAAGACGTTACTGATACATTTCATCTGGAGGCTGATTAAAAGATAGTCATTATCAATTACTGTAGTTTACGCAAATAATACACACCTTCTACGTTTGTTTGCCAACTGCACCGTCCCCCCATGAAGTATTTTCATAAGCACCACTAAAAAATTGACACAGCAGCGCTTACGAAAATACCTCACGAGGGGAGAGCGCTATTGGCAAACAATTGTAGAAGGTGTGCATTATTTGCATAAAAATATGGTACTTAGGTTTGCTATTAAAGAGACTTCTTTTTTCCACAGTTTCAAAATGTTTTTGTATAATATAAATGGCCTGTTATGAATTAAGAACTCTTTTTGTACATTTCTAGATAAACCACTTGACCAAAAATTAAATCCAACCCATCCCCAAATTTGGAATTTTTATTATTCCTCTTGATACAAATTTAGACTTTCTGAAAATTTTTATAATGACTTACCTACTAGGTGGGATTTTTTTTTTTTTAACTATAAAGCTTTCCTTTTTCGATAATAATTATGTAGTTTGGAGGAAAGAAAACTAGGTTGGTAAAGGGAGGAAAAAATATCTAGAGGGTACCCTTTGAGTTGTTACAGAATTTTCAAAATAAAATCTAGCTAAAAGGAAAATTTTACATTTCTCTTTTTGTCTTAGATGGGACCCACAATTCTTCTGACCTTTGGAGTTCATCAAATGGGATGAGCCAGCCTGGTTTTGGTGGAATTCTGGGGACCTCTAGTTCCCACATGTCTCAATCCAGCAGTTACGGCAGCCTTCATTCACATGACCGCTTGGTAGGCTATAACGTGTGACAGAGTGCAGCAACACTGTGTCCTCGCTTGTGTTTCTCTTTGGATTACTGCCAAAACCTCTGAAGGGTGGAATACTTGGAGGCTTCCTGCATTTAGCATGCCTTTCTTAAAAGTAAATGACAGTGGTAGCATTTTTAATTTCTAACTTGTAATGTTTTTTAACCTATTAGAGTAGTTGTCCAGTTGTATGTGCATATACTGTTCAGCAAGTGTGTTTAATAGATCCTGTCTGTTTTCCCCTCTCTCTAGAGTTATCCTCCACACTCGGTTTCACCCACAGACATCAGCACGAGTCTTCCGCCAATGTCCAGCTTCCACCGCGGCAGTACCAGCAGCTCACCTTACGTTGCTGCCTCGCACACTCCTCCCATCAACGGGTCAGATGGCATTCTAGGTGAGCTTTTTTAGGGTTGGCACAACTCCCTAAAATCTAATTTGGAGATTCTCAGTGAGTCCTGTGTCTTTCAATATATTTTCTAGTATTAAATATAAAAAAAAAAGAAGCTTTGATTTTTATTGTTACAGAAACTGGTAAGGGAACCCACCTTTACCTTAGCTTAGTAAGTATGACACACACAGAATAGTCACTGGTTTATTGTGACAGATGTGATTGTATGATAGAAAACAGCCTTGAGGTTATGTAGAGTGCTAAAACCATGGTTGCTTGCTAAAATTCTTGATTTGTTTCCCTACTTGAAATATCCAGGACCCAGAGGGAATGCGGCTGGAAGCTCGCAGACAGGTGATGCACTTGGAAAGGCTTTGGCATCTGTGAGTATTAATTTTACATATTCTGCTAAATGAAGTTTACAGTGCTGAATGCAGTAATTACATTTTCTGAGTGGTATATGTCAGAGTTAAAGGGTCTAGTTGTAACAAATTCGACTTTGTTTACTCATTTAGAATGATTCTCATTTAATATTGACACGTGCCCTTAAAATAACTCATGAGAACACCTTCCCACTCCATGCCACGAGAACTACCCCTTCTGATTTAAGTTTAAACACTTGCCTTTGACTTAATGGAATAGGTATGTACAAGGAAGAGTAACTTGGGCACGTTTTTATCTAAAGCACAAATTACTGAGATTAATCCACCTATTGCCATCAAGTCAGTTCCTACTCATAGTGACCCTAAAGGACAGAGTAGAACTGCCCCATAGGGTTTCCAAGGTTGTAAATCTGCACGGAAGCAGACTGCCACATCTTTCTTCCGTGGGGCGGCTGGTGGGTTCAAGCTGCCGACCTTTCGGTTAGCAGTTGAGTGCTTTAACCACTGTGCCCCCAGGGCTCCTTACTGAGATTAATAGTTAAGCCCTATTTATTATCTTTAAATACTTGGTTGTTGTTGGATACTGTCAAGTCAATTCTGACTCATATCGACTCCATTTAGTGGCCCATTAAAATAGGTCACATGGAACCAAGAAAGATAACTCAGTTATTCTTCTCTTCCAGAGAATAAAGTTGTTTTTCTAAGGAATTTTTCAAAGATGGAAAGTATTTTACAATCAGCTGCAGGTGATTTATTCAAAAGATAGTAAATTTCTTGAGAGCCTTCCAAAAAAAAAGAGTCGTGTTCGTTAAAGAACTTGGGCTAAAATGAGTGTTTTCCTGAGGAGCCTGTAGTTTAGATCTTACCAGGACATTAGTGACAAAGCAGTGATTGTCTTTTAATATCTGATTCTTAGGACATTAAAACTGAAATCCTTTTTGGAATGCCAAAACTACAAGCAAGAGCATTTGTCAGTAATCCACAAAGGTCAAAATCTAATTCTTTAAAATAGAGGCTTCCGCTTTGTACTTTCTGAAATTTCCCCTTACTTTGTTTTTTTTTCCTTTCTTCTTTCCTGCTGAGCAGTATGGCTCTGAGAGTTCCCACAGAGTTGCCTTACATTTTCTGTGAACTGCAGTTGACTCTGTCAGACACGTTTGTTGCTCTTCTTGGGTGAAGCAGAGCACTTTAACGTGTGTTTCATAGGAAGTAACTGTTGAGCATTTTAGGAGATAAACCCCTTTGTATATTGCTTCTGTGAATAAACGTTTCCTACAGCTGAATACGAGTTTCTTGAGAAATGAGGCCAAGTCAGATTCATCTACCACATAATGGGGCAGAGTACGAAATAGAGCTCAGTAAATGTTTGTGGAATTCAGTCTTGGATCATATCGCGATAATGATGATGATAGCAAAAGCCAAAATACCAGCTATAATTTGAATGCTGATCGGTGCTAGGCGCTATACTAAGCATTCATATGCCCTGCCTCATTTAATCCTAAGAAAACCTCCGAAGTTGGCATTATTATCCCCACATTACCGATGAGGAGCTAAGGTTTAAAAGGTTAGGTAACTTGAGCTCAGAAAGATTAAGTAGCTTGCCCTTGGGATCCCAGAGCCAGTAAGGGTAAAGCTGTATGTATTAGAACTCCAGTCTGAGAAGCTTCAAGCTCTGTGCTCATTACCACTGCTCTGCTTCCAGAAGGAGCAATGCCACAGTGACTGTCGTTCACCCGGGTTGATGAGGATTAAAGGGGCCGTTCCACCTTCACGTGGGGTTGTCACACCCTCTTGATAAAAAACCTACCTGTTTGGAAAGAAAGTTACCCTATACTGTTAAAGCTGAGTGGCTCCCAGGTATTTGATTGGCTTGCCATATGTCTCGTGCTGGTTCTGGAAGAATCCAGTAACAGATACTTCACATGTAGGAAGACAAATAACTTTTGAGCTTTCAAAGCTAAGCAACTTTTTAAAACATAACCTGCATTTTGGGGACTTTTTTCCCCCTCAAGGGTCTTTTGTTTATCTTACCTGAGGAAAACTTCTGTGAAAGAACCTTGGCATATAAACAGGCAAGAATTTGTGATGTCCGCAGTAGCCCTTCAGGCTCATTTTCAGCCTCCATTCCAGTCCTTGAGTGTTTTCCCATATTATGGCTAGCATGCTAGCCAAGCCAGGTTGGCAATTGGAAAAGAAAATCCAAATTCACTGTGAGTGGAAGCCAGGGAAGAAACGTTTAATCTGGTTAGTGGGTGGGCTTTAGTTGTCATGGAAACTCAGCTCTGTCATCCTGTGTTGTTACTAGGCAGGAGCAGCCCGGTCATTCCATAAATCATTTCTGTCATAGCTGATGGTGATGCGTTCCATCTGCCCCGTCACTGCATGCCATAGTCTGCACACTTCAAATCCCTTCCTTCAATCCATCTGCTGCCCCCCTCCCCAGGCGCAGCCACCTCCCCCAAACACATTCTTCCTCTAACACCCATTACAGACTCACATTCACTTTAATATATGTTTAGTTTAGCTCTGAAAATGTACCGGAAAACAAAAACATTACCTGTCTTGGGGTAGGAAGGATTAGAAGAGATAAGAAGAAGGAACTTAATGAGGATTACACTTGAGAATCTGAGGTGCACATCGGCTTTTCTAGTTACTGTGACTTATTTGAAATTTTAAGTTCCTTGGGATGTGACGTTTTTAATACAGCATCTAGTTTTAGATGGAAAAACATCATGCTTTTGTCATTAGAAGTTATTTCTCGCTCCCCAGTTGTTTGATGTGTTGTCTTAGCAGGTCTGTTGTGTGTGAAACATCCAAGGGTACAACCTCCGTTCTTCAGCTTAGGTTTTAAAGAGCCCGCAGAATACTGTGTGATTAAACATGGAAGGCCAGATAATACATTTGCAAAGGTTCCTTTATTTTAGGTCTAAGCCTGGATAATTGTGGTCTTAATCTCAGGATAGCAAGAAAGAGAATTGTACATGGAAGTATTTACACAAAGTTCCCAAAGCCCTGCAGATTAGGCATTAGTTTAGATAATGAACTAGGGTAGATAGAAGGAAAGGAAAATCTGGGTATTCGTGCCATTTCTAATGTGTTTCCCTGAGCATTTGCCAGACAATAACCCTTTAAGATTGTGCCCATGGAGAGTTATATGGAAGAAGAAACATCTGGCTTATTTCAGTGCCTAATACCATATCAAAACACTTGGTCTTTAATTTAGAGGAGATCATACGGGAGAACTGTTTAACTTTGTTGATTTTATCAGGCTTCTTTGTGATAATTTGTTTTGATTTCTACCTCAGAGCAAGTGTGTGTGCGCGCGTGTGTGTGTGCGCGCGTGCGCGCGCTCGTGTGTTTTAATTTAGGTAGTTAAATGGTCGGTTGTCTCTAACAAAAGAAAAGAAAATTCAGGGAAGTTGATGTTTAAAAGTAATTCATGAAATGTTTCTTTGTTCCTTACACTCAATAACATTAGCATAATAAAGATTAACTGAAATGTGCACTGTAGTGTTTAACAAAAAATTGGGCTCTCAGTTCCTGGGTTGGGTTGGGGAGCTCTCCATTGTCTCTGTTATGTCTGAGGCCCTTTTCATTAGCCTCTGACTTATTGGCACCCTGCTGGTTGGAATGGACCATGACTGATAGGAGGAGGAGCCTCATTTGTTGCAGTAAAATGAGGCATATTACCGTTTAAGCCTGGCAGAAGGTATTGGGAGGTATTCATCATTGGTCATCTAACAGGATGGGGACCATAGACTGCATGCAGAATGAGTTCTTACTTTGTGTTTATGCTCTAGACTCTAAATCACGCCCATTCCCATTTTTAAGTGACTTCTTTTTCTTCCTGCAAACACCGGTATAGGAGTTCTTTAAGGCCAGAGAGTCCAAAAAGAAATGTATTCTTGATTTAGAATGTTGTTTGCCAAGTAAAGCCTTGTGTTTAGAATTCCTTAAAGGAGCACAGCAATTTCTGTTGAATACATTATATTATGTATGTGATTTGGTAATAGGAGAACAAATAGATAAAGTGGAACAAGATGACCTGTGATCCGAAAGGCTGGATTATCGTGCTGCCCTCATTTGTTGCTCTTCCTGTCCCCACATACACATTCTTTTTGTGGAAGCAAAAGGAACTAGAGAAATCGTGCACCTTCCGGGCTGTCTGTGAATTAGGAGAAACAATGATAACAGTCCTGCCTGTTACCACTCTACTTGGCAAAGTAGAACCAGCAAGTGTGATGCTTGAGTGGGGAGAGGGGCGAGTGGAGAAGCTGCTTTGGGGAAAACGTGAGACATTATATGGTGCTTTTATATATGAGACGTCTTTGGTGCTGTTTCTCCTGTTTGAACAGTGGTTTTTGAAAGCCCACACTTATTTTACATATAGCGTCAGAGCATTTTGCTCAGTCATTCAAAGGTAGTGATTCTATACGACTCTAAAGTGTAACCTCTTCCTTTTCTCAGATGAAGGAGCTGTCACCAGTTCTTGACATGCTTGGGGATTGTTCAGTTGTAGTGGCAGAGTTGTCAGGGAAAATACAGGCTGACAGTCCACGTCTCCACTCAAGAGCCCATACCCGCCTAACGGAGTACTGTTGACAGCGCAGTGTATCCACCTGGCACCTCAGCATATCGTCATTCTCAAAGCTCACGCCATAAAACTGATTTGGAAATGAATTCCTCTTTATAACAAAATCTTTCTTCTCCTTTGGTATTTCTGTTACTGAAACACGTTACGTAAATACTAAGACTAATCTACTGATCCCTATGTTATAGCAGATTTCAAGTGCATTTTAATCCCTTTAGTTTAAAAAATATATCGATTACCTACTTTGTGCAAAACCATGCCAGACAATGATAGATTCAGAGTTGAACAATACAAGGTCCCTGTCTTCAGAGAGCTTATAGTCAAGGAGAGAAGACAAGACAGATATACAAATAACGGTAATATTAGAGCAAAAAGTGAAGTAAAAAGACCACAGAGAAGTGCAGGTTAT